TAAGTCGTAACCCTAATGCAAGCACATGCAGTAATAATTCAAGAATAATATAACATATGTCTTGATTACTTAATCTATAAATACTACTTAAGAATACGTTTTAACATTTCCGTAACTAGAAAATATGTAAATAAAAGCAAGAAATAACGAATCAATAATTATTCAATCACAGTTATTTCTAAAAAACTTAGTCATTGTGTAATGTTTTATTTGAAGTTTCAAAGGAAGTTTCAATACTTTCTACATTTTTAATACAATTATATGGTATACTATAATTGTATTGTTATAAATAATAGATTCGTTAATCATTGCTTCTCAAGGCCTTAATTTTTGGATAGGTTAAAAATATTTAAACTGATAGAGGATATCAATTGAATTTTCATTAAAATAAAGATTGCAATAAAAAGTCTAATTTGTATTTTATTAAATAACAGTACAATAAGTATAATTATTGAAGTTTTGAACAATTTAAGAACTTTCTAAGTGTCCTAATTTTGCTGAATGTAAACTTGGGAAAAATCATTAGTTTTTAATTTTTTTATAGGAATATCTTTCGAATATTAAAAATTTAACTTAACTTAAAATAATTGTTCTAATTTTTAGAAAAATTTTAGAAAAAAATGTGTTTAATTATGCAAATTTTTATGTCAAAAACGAATAAAAATCACCGAGATCTAAAGATACAAAATTGCATTGATTTTAACGTAAAAACGTATTGGTTGTAAAAAGGGAGTGATAAATGACTTCGACCATTTTTTTAAAGTGACAATTAGATATCAAAATTTGCCAAACTGAAATGCATCTTTCTTTTATGACAAAATGAAAAAAAAGAATGAAAAGAGGGAGCGAGACAGGATTTCAGAACTTAAATGTTTATGTTATTGTTCTAGTGAAGAAAATATTTGTTTGCAAAAGTTGCCGAACAAATAGCTTTAAAAGAGACCGGACCATCTATATACAGGCCACCGGTAGTTCTGACACTGAAAGATTGACCATGAAAAATACTATATATGATGTTGTCCCAATTCCTGAATTAGCACGTGAGCTTTCCTAATTAATTTTCTTCACAGCTACATATGGGTTTTCAACTGGTCACTTTCCTCTTCATGCATTGTCCAAGAAGCTGAACTGGGTAAAAATTGTAAAGAATTCAATTTCATTTCTATCGTAATTATGAGAAAATGAGCTTGAATTTATACTATTTCGTAAGAAGTTCCAATGACTGCCTAGTACTCTCGATACATTTATTAGTTCATACTTAAAATATTTTCCATAGCATTGTTTAATGATTTTATTTAATTGAGTTCTTAATTAAGTTCGTATCAAAAACTGTTTTATTTTAATATCTAAAGAATATTAAATATTATCTCCTTTTTTGAATGCAATAAGCAATATTGGCATTTAATCAATGTCTTTATAATCAATTGCTATATTAAAATAAATTTTGAAGCTGCCAATATGACTTCGGCATAATGTTGGGGGAAATTGTCGACGGAATATTTCGTAAGAACCCATTTTTTTAAGGACTTCTCTTTACATATTTAAATTCACGATTAACCTTAGTACTTAGAAGATAATTGATTTTTTTTAAATTTTTTTTTACTTTGTGTAGTAAATTTACTAGTAAATTTTAAATTAGTAAACTTAAATTTTTTTTTACTTTGTGTAGTAGTTGTTAACCTCAAAGATAAACCTCAAATTAAATATTAAACAAATTTATAGATTTTCCGACTGAAAACAATTACAATTTTTGAATTTTTTTTATTACGACGTTAGGTGTTTTTCAGCAGGTTATAAATAAATGTAATAAACCTGTTCTTAAAACACTAATTAAGATTAATATAATGCATAATGAAGCAAATCATATTCTCTTCATAACTATTAAATATTATCTATTCGACACAACATCTCAAAAAAAAATTTATTTGCGTTTTTTCTAGACATTAATGCATGACAGCTGGTGACACAAACACTTTGTAGTTCAAGAAGAACTGAACCTTCCTTATTTTATCCTTATTTCTTAAGAATTTCAAGAAATAAGGATTTTACGTATAATATTCAAATTAAAATAGTAAAATCTACCGGAAAATTTAAAATCCAATGTTTTTCTGAGTTAAAAGAAATCACACACTATTAAGCGAAAACGCAAGAAAAACGTTCCATTTAATATTTTTAAATACTATTTTCATATTGTTAATAAATATAAAATTATCTCGATAAATTTACCAAGATTTAACGAGATTTAACATTAAAACAATAACGTGGGAGTATAAATCATTGAAAGTTTTATCTTCTACATGAATCGAAGAATTTTCCGCTATGACTCTGGCTGCTTAATTAACATAATTTTCAGCAATAAGGAATAGCTAAATTAAAGTTAAAACTGCAAAACTGCTTGTGGGAATTTAGCAAAATCACCTTTGGATTTTTAGCAAAATCACCTTTGGACGTAAAATTTCAAAAATGAATTTCGTCAAATTTTCAAAATTCAGAAAAATTAAATATTAAATACAATTTGTAATAGTATTTTTCACAAAAGGAAAATTTCTAACATCTGTTTGCATTTATAACGTTTAAAATTTTAATATTTTCATCAAAAAATTAGATTTTGTTGCCAAAAAAAATCAATTTTTAAATTTTTACATTTGAACTAACTAATAAGGTAATGCCAAAAAAACACATAGTACATTTAAAAAGTGATTCGACATTTTTTCTACAATATGATGCACATAAACTGATTAAACTTATAGACTTCGTTTTTTAATATAAAGAACGTTTTGTATTCTGATGCATAAGCCAGATCATTTAAATAGCTATAAAACTTTTGTTCTCTACCCTGCCGAGTAAAGTGGTTTTGATTGGATTTGAAATTACTTCCATGTTTTTTTTATTATTTAGGTAACTAAACTAAATATAACTATTTTTAAGTGTTTCGTGGTACGAGATGCTCCCTAAATGCAAAAGAAAATTAAGTTATCGATAAAAATGTGTGATGTACAGAGTTAGTGCCAATAGCCTTATTTCTTCCAGATATTGGTGTCTTTTGCTCAAAATTAAATTGCAAAAAGTTATATTAAAAAAATTGTATGTGCCTAGCTTCTGAATATTTTACCTATTTTTTTGCTATAAATTCTTACATAGGTTCTTACAAAATGTGTAAGTATTTTTTTTTTTAAATTTCAATTCACTAAGAAATCAATATTGAAAAGATTAATGTAATAGTTTGGTTTCTTGTTTCCTTCAACAATGTAACTTTTTTGCGTTTCATTTAAATAATTAAATACAAAGAAAAGATTTTTAGAGCATATTTATAACAATATATGGATTGAAATAGTTGGAAAGTGTATAAAAAGTTTGATTGTTTAGCATTGTTACCCAAAAAAAGTTAATTGTTAAAAACAAAAATAAATTCTATTAAAAACAATTTGTTGGTCATTCTTTTTTGAGCTATACTCAGTGTATGTTGTCAAATTTGACGGCGATTTTGAAAAGCTTTAAAAAAGTGCTATTATGAGTGAATTATTTCACCAAACCTTTACGCCTATCTGGCGAATGCATAGGAAGCAATTTTGCTTGTATAAACAAGCAATTATTAATTACTGGTTAGACCAGATGATGAAGTATCCTCGACCTATGCGTAAGCCTATTCTTTTTATATTTATTCCAATATTAGCAGTCATGCAATTTATAGAACTTTTGGTTTACAAAACTAAGTGAAGAGATTTATATAAGAAAAAGAAATTTCAAATGTTAATAGCAAGACCATAATAAAATTTATCGATTACGAAATGTTATAGTAATATTAGAAAGCTATATATATTAGAAAGAATTCGTTTTTTCAATTACCATTATGTGAGCTGATACGAGATTATATTTTCCCCTTATTTTGCTTTCTAGCTTTTTAATTTTTAATTTTTTAAATACTTCTATAGACAATTTTATTTATTAATAATTTCTCTTTTTCTCTTTAAAAATATTTTTTCCCTGTTTTATTTGTATATTTAATTTATTTTGGGTTCTATGTATTTGCAGCTCATGCTCCGTAATAAAACTTATTATTTTTCTTAATTTTCTTCGTTAACCTCTCTTTTATTTTCTTTTTTTTTTGTCTCTTTATTGTTTTTATTAGAATTCTTTATAAATAGTTATTAATTTTATTAGAATTTTGTAATAAAAGGCGATTTTGAAATTTAAAAAAAAATTTGAAATTTCCACCTTTAAGATATAATTGTTTTTAAATGGTCCGATATACAACTAAATAATTTGTTAAAAATCAGCCTTCCTATTAATTTGTTTTGCGTTTGTGACAGCCTAATTGAACGATAACAATTTTTCATAACGTAGCCATATTTCTGCTAAAAAGACCTTGCTAAAGTCCTTTTTGTCAAAATAAGTGAGAGATATCAAAGAAGAAATGGAAAGAACTAGAAGAATCAGTAGAATAAAGTATTTTTCAGAAAAATTTCATTTAATAGATTTTAAATTTTTTACATAATCTTGTCTACTACTTTTTATGCCAAACGACAATTAATTATGATTACTTAAAAAAAGTGTGCTGCTGCTATTGTTATGATATATCATTTTGTAGTATTTAAAGTATTATAGTATTAAAAGTAAAGTATAAAGTATTATAGTTTTTTATAGTATTATAGGCATCTAAACAAGATAAAAATAAGTCCCATTTTTCAACATAGACAATAGGTAAAAAAATATTTGTTTCCTTTAAACTTGTTTGCATTACAAAACATGCAATTATAAATAAATAATCATTAAATTTGAAATAAAATTACGACAAACATGCACGTTGAAGTTATTTTTATAATTTTCATATTTGTAATAAATAACAGTTGCAATTTTTAAAGTGTTGTAAAATTAAAATAATACAAGTCCTTGAAACATATTTTCAAAATAACTAACAACTTCTTTTAAAATTTAAATTATATTCTATCTTTTTAAAACGTTAAAAGTTGAATTTTTTCTAACTGTGAAATTATATTTAGCTCATGAGGATGATTATGATGATGTCGAAAGTGAGGATGAAGCAATCAATGAGTAAGTATATATTTTTCAAGTCGCTAAATAGGATATAAGCATAAATACGCCGAATTCCCTAAAAAAGAACACAAATTAAGATTATAAATATATAGGCACGAAATAGAAAAAAGACCAAAACAACCGGCACTGAGAAAAAATTATCGACAAAACTACCAGAATATGGAGAGATTTATCATATCCGTGGATCTATGGGAACACAAAAAATCTTGGCAGTTTAAAATAAAGCTCTTTGATAGATATTTGCAAAATTAGCAATAATATGTGTTAGAATTTGATAGAGGAGGACACATCTTAGACCATGATTCAAAAATAATTGATCCGGTAAAATTAATTTCTTAATGTTTCATTTTTTACCAAATGTGTGAGAATAAGAATTATATTTTCAAAAACTATATTTTCTGCTCATTCATTACCGTATGAAGAGAAAATGTACCAAATGAATGGCTTCAATACCGTATATATTTTGATTCTTATTACCATTTACCATTTTTATTACTATTTTTGATTTTTATTATGCTGCTCTTTTTTTTTATCAGAATTGTCATTACCACACAGTACGGTAAATTTACCAGAATATTTTTCTCTGTCTGTATTAGCAAACTTTTAGGTTACACATATGTTTCTAATCATATACATTTTGTTTTGGCATAATAGGGGAGTTATTGTAATACAATCTATATTTTCAACAAAATATAACGAAACAAAACAAGTAAAACATTAAAGGAAGATTTTATTATAAAACTGCTTTTAAATCAGAAATAATTTTATGAAAGTATTTAATTCACAATTATTCATTTTAAATATGCCGAGTATTTGGGAGTTCAATGTAGGTTATTAAAATTCTTGTAAAAGAAATTAAATAAAGAAGTTTAAATGTTCACAAACTAATATTTATACTATTTGAGCTGTAAAAAATTACTACCGAAGAAGGTGAAGTGAAATAATGATGGAAGAAAAAAAAAGGATTTAAAATAAGTTAACTAGAAAACATCCAAGATTATTCATGCAATCAAACTGATATCAATGTTTTCAATCTAAATTTACGCATAGATAATGATCCGTTAGATTTTGATAGCTATTTTTNAAAATATTATTCTATACATTTTGTTTTGGCATAATAGGGGGAGTTATTGTAATACAATCTATATTTTCAACAAAATATAACAAAGCAAAACAAGTAAAACATTAAAGGAAGATTTTATGATAAAACTGCTTTTAAATCAGAAATAATTTTATAAAAGAATTTAATTCACAATTATTCATTTTAAATATGCCGAGTATTTGGGAGTTCAATGCAGATTATTAAAATTCTTGTAAAAGAAATTAAATAAAGAAGTTTAAATGTTCACAAACTAATATTTATACTATTTGAGCTGTAAAAAATTACTACCGAAGAAGGTGAAGTGAAATAATGATGGAAGAAAAAAAAAGGATTTAAAATAAGTTAACTAGAAAACATCCAAGATTATTCATGCAATCAAACTGATATCAATGTTTTCAATCTAAATTTACGCATAGATAATGATCCGTTAGATTTTGATAGCTATTTTTCCTTTTGTTTAAAAAGTAATTTGTAACTATGCTTTCTAAGAGTCGATGAGAAAATTTTCACATTTATTCACTAATTAACAAGCATTACAATATTTTTTTTAAAAAATGCAAAATCATCTCGCGCAACTTAATAAATCATATCAAAAATATCAATTTAATTAAAATGTGAAGAACTTTAAAGAACACTGAAAAAAACTTATTTTTAATTATGATTTTTTTTAATTGATTGCCAACTGTTTTCTTCAAATAAAAAAAACTAGGCATACTTTAAGTTATTTGAAATTATACATACATAGAAATTTATTAAGGTTTACTTCATGCTTATTTTAGGATTGTGGAAATTAATTTTGGAGGTTCTGAGGAACCGGAAATTGTTGAAAACATGTCGGCCCAACCATTAGGTGATGAGGTTGTAAAAAGCATCAGGTATGCTAATTTTTATTTAAATTGAATGTTCTTCGAATTTTTAGTTAGTATTTTTTGTATATTTGCTGCTTTCTGCTATTTTAAATGTTTGAAATTGCTCACAAAACTATTGAAAAAAATAGTTACAAACACCAAATTGCAATTTTACAAAAACTCACTCTTTAAAATTATTGAACTGTTAATGATTATAAAGATTACATCCAAATTATGGTCTTATAAGTATTTATCGACGGAATTTTTACTTTTATGGTGGAAATTTTTATTTTTATTTTATTTTATAATATTTTTTAAGTATGCAGATTGTGATTTCACAAATAGACAGCTCTGCAAATTTAATTTTTGTTACATCTTTTTACTAATTAAAGATACATAAGAGGTTCCGTTATTAGCAGGACATATAGTATTGCAGGAGATTAACACATATGTATTTTTGAATGTTTATACATTTCTTAAAAGAACTAATTAAATCCTTGAACTAACTTCAAGGCCTCTTTTATTAATCACAAAGTTCAGATATAAATAAATATAAAATACGTCTGAAAAATAAATTTATTCGCCTTTTAACATTAAAATGTTAAACAGAATAAAAGATAAATTAAAAAAAAATAAATAGATAAAATTGACAACTTTTTTGCATATTAAACTTTATTTTTTAAGAAATACAACCGATAAATTTTGATAATTTTGCTATTAAGCAGAATTTTGCAAATATTAGTAAAATTTTTATCTTAGTTATTTGAATCAATTAAAGCATTACATGCATAATATTATACCTTTTAATTCATAATAATTTTTACATGCATAATATTATACCTATTTTACATTATATTATACCTTAAGTATTTTTCAACAGAAGTTTTTGAATAATTCGATTGTAAACACTTAGACCTTTTGCATGAAAAAATTCACCAGTTTTTATAAGTATTATACATTAAAAAGTATACATCTATGTATTATGAGCCATTCCGAAAAAGTAAACCATGACGTATTATTATTTTAGTGTTGAAATTGATGTGAAGTATGATGATTTTGGATGTTATGTAGAGGCCGATTGTAAGGATGATTTTGTTGTTCAGACTCAAACGAGTGAGAATGATGAAAAGAGAAGGTACATTTAGTTGTATTAAAATTGAGTTTTATTAGCATTTCATAATTTTTTATGAATAATACTTGTCCATGTTACATAACATATTATGTTACATGCAAATTACTTAAAGCTCTTTCCTAGTTTTCACTTTTTTATTTTAACTAGTTGATTACTAGTTGTTCAAATCATCCTTTTGGTGATACACTTACAGGAATTTATTCTTGAAAGGTTACTCTTTATTCAATATTATATATAT